AACAAAAGTTCGTAATTTTCTAAAAGCAATGACCGACCACAACTATGATTGCCACACCAATGGAATCCCGTCGTACCGGCCAAGTGACCCAAGAAAACTTCCAGATCTGCTGGACTACTACATAAGCAAAGGAGTGTCCAGAAATAACTGTATAATAGAATCCAGCTATGACCTCTCATCGGATCCTACACCGGTTATTATGAGCCTGAGTACCACAGTTATAAACAGCCTACCACCTCCTCGACTCACGTTAAAAAACACCAACTAGGCAGATTTTCAATCCTACCTAGAAGAAAACACCCACCTTAATCTGCGGATCAAATCTACACATGACATAGATACAGCAGCTCAATACTTCACCACACTTGTGCAAAAAGCGGCATGGCAATCTACACCACGAACTGAACGCAAACCAACACATTCAAAAAAAGAATCAAGCTATCATAATGTCATTTATAAACAGGTAGTTCCACACGATGAAAGAAAAAATCAACAAAACAGCACCAGCACGCACTCCAGAAATGCTCACAAAAAGGAACTCAAGGATGACAACAATATCATCCGTAAAGTGATTGTTGGAAAAATTAACCCTTGAGTCGTCGGAGTGCGCTATTTTCGTGTCGACCTTTCGATCCACATGTCGAACAACAGTGAACAACAGGGTTTGTATTAGTGTTTAATAGTTCGCTAAATATTTGTACTTTTGTTCTGTCAGACTCTACCAGACTATTCGAGTAATTTTTGTGCATTCGACAAGTAAATTTATTTTTATATTTTTTGTGAAGTATAACCTACATAGAGTAAATATTTTAATTCTTGTGGTTATATATAAATATAGTAATGTTCCTAATTTTTTTCTCTTGTATTTCAAATTTCAGTGATGGATACTTATCTAAAAGAAAATCAGAGATTATAACAGCTCTATGAAGAAGTAGAAAAAGAAAATGTTGATTTGGAAAGCGAGCCAGAATCAGACAGGTGTGAAGAAATTGACCACAACACAGACACAGAAGAGGAAAGGGGGAAGAATTGGAGGAAGACTTGGGGGAAGAACGCAAAACCGGCGGCTCTTTTATTATGCAATAGATGGGGTATCCTGGAGAAAACTTCGGACAAAAAAATCTAATTTTATTTTATACTTACCAGGTTTAAAAGGAAATGCTCGTCAAGCAGTTGATCCTTTAGAGTGTTAAAAATGTTTTATTGACGATAATATTCTCGAAACTATTAAACAGAACACAAACATATTTATTTCTAAACTAAGAAATAATTATGCAGATCCAAACGAAGCCAAATATACAGGTATTGTGCAAATAAAGGCGGTAATTGGTCTATTATACATAGCTGGGGTTTTCAAAGCAAGTCGTTAAAATTGCAAAGAATTTTGGGTTACTGATGGAACAATCGAAGAGATGTTTCGACCTACTATGGTTCATAGGCGATTTGTATTCTTGCTACGTTGCTTGCGTTTTGATGACGACATGATTTTTGCATTCCGTGGACGTTGCGGATTCCGCACGTACATCCTTAATAAGCCAGCCAAACATGACATAAAAGTATTTTCCTTTTGCCAAGTATTTTTATGACATAAAAGCCAAATGTTTTTACACAGTAAATATAAAAGTATACGTTGGAGCTCAGCTTCCAGGGCCATATCGCGTTAGTACTAAGACCACTGATTTAGTGGAATAAATATGTGAGCCTTTATTTGGGTATAACCATGGATAATTGGTTTACAAGTTACGAAATTGTAAAACGCATGCACAGAGCACGCGGATGCACGCGTAGCAGAACATAATTACAATTGTTGGCCAATTCGAAAAAATAAATGGGAGATTTTAAAGGTACTTCTTAATCCCAGCAGACCACAGTACTCGTCTATCTTTGAATTTTCCAAATCAATCACTTTGGTTTCTTATTATATGCCAAAGAAAAAAATCGTGACTTTGGTATCATCTTTTCACTATGATGACTCGATTGATGAAGATTCTGGAGGTGCCTGTAAGCTCAATATTATTACTTTTAATAACATTACAAAATCAGGCGTTGACTCATTTGATCAGAAATGTGCAGCCTCCCCATCCAAATAAACAAGGTCGTTGCGTCTATTTCCCAAATCATAAAACACCATATGTTTTTGTCAAATGCTAAAAATAGATATGCTTAGAGCATGTTAAACCGATTTGCGAAGACTGCAATGAAAATTGAAATTAGGATTAGAATTTTATTTATTAAATGTAAGAGAAGTACATTTTTGTTAATTTTTACATTTTCTTAAAGATGTTGCATATTTTACCATTGGGTTTAAAATGGTTAAGATGTATTAAAAATGAAAAAAAAAGATTGTACATATATCAAATAGTTTTATTTTAATCTTTTCTAATGTATCGTGTAAAATAAAACTGGGTCTTACAGACCCCACACTACTTTTCATGTAATTTGCATATACCCGATTACTGAAGGGTTAAAATAGGTTGGGAAATACATCATAATAATATTTAAAACAACTAATACACTTAAATATATCCGGTCCAAAATAAAGTCTAACAACACACAAGAGAGATCAAATCATTGCATCTATAAAACACTCTGTGCATACAACAGGATAAACAAGCATGAAACATAAATCAAGAAGAGGTACTTCCACAAATCGCAGATATATAAACATGCCTGGGACAATTAACACAGAGTACAGTGCAGAAGGAATGGACCAAAAATATTGAAAAGTGAGGTGATAAAAGCTATAGATCAAACGAAAGATGGGAAAGCAACAGGATGCGATGAAATACCAGTCGAATTCTTAAAAGTTTTTAACGAGAACAACCTGAATGTAGTATTGGAACTGTTTAATAAGATATACGATACTGGTCAAATTCCATCGGACTGGTTGAAATCTACATTTGTGCCCCTTCCCAAGAAATATAATTCTAAGACGTGTCGTGAATATCGCCGTATAAGTTTAATGAGCCACACCCTTAAAGTATTTTTGCGTATTATCCATTCCAGAATACGAGCAAAATTAGAACACAGCATAAGTAAAACACAGTTCGGTTTTAGATGCGGTTTTGTAACTCGAGAACCCCTCTTTGCAATACAAGTTTTGATTCAAAAATGCCTGGATCAACAGAAAGATGTTTACGTCTGTTTTATCGACTATGAGAAAGCATTCGATACTATCAAACATGACAAACTCATAGAACTATTACGTCTTTCAGGACTTGACACTAAGGACATCCAGATTATAAAAAATCTATATTGGAATCAAACAGCCCACATGAAGAATGGACATATGGTGAGTGAAAATATAACCATTTCTAGAGGGGTAAGACAGGGCTGTATTCTTTCGCCACTGCTTTTCAACCTGTACACGGAACAAATATTTCTAGAGGCACTAGAAGAGTACAATGAGGGCATCAAGATTAATGGCGTACCAATAAGTAATTTTCGATATGCAGATGATACTATTATACTGGCCGATAACATCGAAGATTTACAGATGATGCTACATAGAGTTAATACAACTGGCAGCCGATTTGGACTGAAGATCAATAGAAAGAAAACTAAATTTATGGTGATCAGTAAAAAAAAAATTCAACATATCGACCTGCATATTGAAGACGAACGTATTGAAAGAGTACACCGATTTAAATATCTGGGATATACAGTAAATGACAAGTGGGATCCAGAAGTAGAGATTAAATCCGAATTGAAATAGGAAGATCCAAATTCATCAAAATGAGAAAGCTCTTAAACAACCGCCACCTAAGCATTAACCTCCGATGGCGCGCCACGAAATACTACGTACTCTCTACGCTACTTTACGGCGTAGAAGGGTGGACGTTAACAGCAGCAACTATAAAGAAGTTAGCAACTCTAGAAATGTGGCTGTATCGACGCATACTGAGAATACCTTGGACAGACAGAGTGGCCAACACAGAGGTATTAAGACGAATGGGTAAAGAGGTGGAATTGTTAACAACTGTTAAAAGGAGGAAAGCGTCATACCTGGGCCATGTGTTCCGTAATGATAAGCACAGTCTGCTACAGCTTATCGTGGAAGGCAAGATTGAGGGTAGAAGAGGTTTGGGCAGAAAGAAGAAATCCTGGCTGAGAAACTTGAGAGAATGGTTTCAAATACCAGAAGCTGCGAACATAATTCATGCGGCACAAAACAGAGAAACCTATCGTATGATGGTCGCCAACCTTCGGTAGAAGACGGCACATAAAAAAGACAGTGCATAAGAAACATGGCTGATGCCTACAACATCGCTGTCAAGTGAGTTAACTTCAATTTTTGAAAAGTTATATCTTCACATTTTTGGCGGTTATACACTCTTTTCAATAACATATCGTGACAATAGTAGACAAATATCGTGGCAAAATATAAGAAAGTTAATGAAGAAAATATCATTAGAGCTACTTAGAGCCTCTTAATAACCGAAAACCAGAATATTTTTAACCTATTACACATAAACTATTGGAGTTAATAATCAAAAACTATATAAAAAAATTCCTTGTTGTGACAAAAAACATTTTTACCTGTAAAAATTAACAAACCAGAGCTGCCACCACCAAAAGAGAGCTTTGAGAAAATGTTTAACTTGAAACTCTTTTTTCTACTCCGTGCACGATATACTCACATTCATCCTAATAAATAAAAACAAACAATATTCATTTATACACTTGTGTTGATAATCATTGATTATATTATAACATTAATAATTAATTAGCTTAATAATTATTTAACGCATAGTTCGTGACTTTCAGTTATGGTGAAACGTGACTTGTTCACATTTACAATTTTAAAATAAAATACCTGCACAGGTAAGACATTTGTTCGCCAATTAATAAATTTAAAGTTATAAATACCTTCTTATGTTTTTAAAAGTTTTAGTTGTGCATTAATCTTGACCACCACCTTTGTTCCGAACTAAAGACTCAAGGTTAAAATTTATTGCTTATGTTTACTTTTATCCTGCAGAATATAGCATTAATATTACCTGGTCTGAATTTCTTTCAACATATTCGTATGGTATAGGCTGCCAATTGAATCCAGGTAACCAAGTTAGATCTTTGGTAGGTGGAAATAATCCTGACAGCATTGTTTGTAATGAGGCCTTAGTTCTATTAAAATCACTACTTCGTGCACTTATTAAATCAATGCTGTACTCGTCGTCCAAAAACCCCGAATAACGTTGGCGAATTTCCTTTCCTAAATTATAAACTTTTAGCTTTCCTTCCTAAAAGAAAAGTTGCAAATTATAGTATAGGATTAGACTAATAGAAACTTAATCTTAAAAGGCAAAATTTTTATCATTATATTATTACTATTTAACTAAAATATTTAAATAAAATATTTACGTTGAAGATATTGTAAAGACCTAAACTGGCATGATAAACTGGCATGATAAACAGGAAAGTCGTATTTTACCGGACCTAAATCTGTACAGAAAGAAAGCTGCTACTAAGAAAACCCAAAAAAATATCATTATAGCAAATAAGACGAAGAAAGTGGAGATGGCTGGACCACACTCCGTATACCCTCGGGACCATATTTAGGACTGCCTTGAACTGGAATCCTGGAACAAATACAGACCTAAAAACACTTACAAAATATTCTAGACGAAGGATGGGAAATGGGAGAACCATCAAAGCAAAGGCAAACAGATTCTACTGGAGACACTTCGTGGAAGCCCTATGTTCCTTTTAGGAATCTAGGAGATTCTCGGTAGTAAGCTGTCTTACTAATAGAGCGATGCAATTTTCAGATATAGAATATATAGAACAGGCAATAAACAAAAAAAAGCACTGTTAAACAACAATTATCCGCACCATCTTATACACAGAATCTTTATATCTAGTAAACTTAAAAGTAAAACTCCCCAGTTGAAAAAACACACGTAGTATACGAAATTCCACATAAATACTGTCAAGGATTTTATATTGGTCAAACAAGTTAACAACGATATAATAGATTAAACTCACATAAATATGTTAAATGGAATACGACCGCCCTTATTAAATATTAAATTCAAGATCACACTTTTAACTTTGAGTAAACAAAAATTCTAAAAATAGAACAAAACACAAAAAAGAGAAATATTCGAAGTAATGCAAATAATAATTCCTATTCATAAAAAAGGAGACAAAACCAAGTGCTCTAACTATAGAGACATCTCCCTACTTAATACGGCGTACAAAATCTTATCGAACATCCTATTAAGTAGACTAACACCTTTTGTAGAAAATTTCATAGGGGAATACCAAGCCGGATTCAGAAAAAATAGATCGACCATAGATCAGATTTTTACTCTCAGGCAGCTGCTTGAAAAAGAATGGGAATTCAATAGAACCATACATAATCTCTTCATACATTTCCGACAAGCATACGACAGCATTAAAAGGGATCAGATGTGGAATGCAATGGCAGAACTTTCAGTTCCAAAAAAAACTTATCCAGCTCGTTAAAGTTTGTGTAAAAGGCTGTAGATCTAGAGTGCGGATAGGTAACAAGCTCTTAGAGTCGTTTGAAATAAACAGTGGACTGAAACAAGGAGACGCGCTGTCACCTCTTCTTTTTAATATAATCCTGGAAAAAGTAGTAAGAACCGCACAAATTAGAACAGAACTACTGACAGTAAATGGACCAAAATTACCAATAGCATACGCGGATGACATTGACATTGTAGGAAATACCGTCACCAATGTAAAAGAAACCTTGAATAAATTAGAGAGAGAGGCAAAAAATACCGGTCTAAGGGTCAATGAAGAGATCTGTCTCAGTAATTAGACCGGTGCTCATGTATGGGTGTGAGACGTGGCCGCTGACAAAAGCAATGGAAAGTAAACTCAGATGCTTTGAGAGAAAAATCCTCAGAAAGATCTTCGGTCCCTATCACGATCCGAATACTAACCAATACCGAATGAGAACAAATGCCGAGGTCAAACAAATGTATAGTGCTAGCGACGTAGTCCAAGAGATTAAATCCCAACGTCTAAGATGGACTGGCCATGTCTATAGGCTCCCTAATAACCGTCTTACCAAGTTAATCTGGTAAGAAGTCCCGACAGGGAGAAGGCCCTTAGGACGTCCACGAATGCGATGGAGAGATAATATATGGTCAGATTTGAGAACAATGGGGCTACCCACTGACTTAAACATCATGGACGACCGTTCGAGATGGAAGCAAGTTGTGCAGTCAGCCAAGACCCACCCCGGGTTGTAGTGCTACCAGAAGAAGAAGAATGCACATAAAACAGTGCCTAAACGCTATAAACCACAAAAAAGACATAAATTTATTAAATTAAATTTATTTTAACATTTTATATCTGTCCCTGGACGAAATACCATAAAAACATTAAACACATTACTTCCTGCCAGACCACTAATATAAGCAAATTGTTGATAGATAAATAACAACTAAATTTTTAAAAATTTTAAAATTGTTTTCTTGATTAATTGTGTTTAGGTGTTTTATATTAAATGAAATTTAAAAGATTTTACCTTATGTGGACTAATTTACGTTTTATGGTAAGTTTTTATTAATTTTTTTTTTGTAAATATGACAAAATCCACTCATATATTTTATATATTGTTTTGATTAAGGAATGGTGTACCTACCGAAATAAAGAACCTCTAACAACAATTAATGTTATAATACGACATAATACGGCTACGACAAGCAAGATTGTTTTCACGTTCAGAGCGTTTGTAAATAGCCGCTCCGTCGATTCCTTTTAGGATGAAATACGTATAAGCGGATATACAGACGCACTGTACGTGAAATCAAATCTTAACTGTCTTTCCTTTTATCTCGGTATACTCTTTATGAGTACTAGAAACCAATTCGCTAAGGATTTTTGCTTAATTGAGGATATATGTTATGTAATGCAATTTTAGATTCCTAATGTCTCTAATTACATCTTTATCAACGTCTGTTTTGCCTTGCAATTCTTAAAAGGCATAGATTAAAGCAGACATCTGAATTTTGTTTCGACAATTATTTTCCGGATTAACGTTATAATGTTATATCTGTCAAATCTGCTAAACGATAAAATTCAAAATTAAAAATGGTCTACTACGCAGTACGCTAGTGTATTCAGATGTATTTTTGTGCGTTAAAAATGAATCCGAAGCCAGAATTGTCAGATTGGCACGATTTTAGAAGATAATCTCAAAAAATTGCTAAAACACGAATTAGAGCAAATTTTGAAAAAATTCTTATTAAACTGTACGTTAGTGTATTCGGAGAAACTTTTTCGCACTGAATTCGAATCCTAAGTTAGAATTGCCAAATTGAGTCAAATATAGAAGATAATCAGTTCATCACTTTTTACGCTTTCCAAAACTATGCAATAAATCGTTTATTTCTTCTTCTTATGGTGCCATATCCAATTAGTGGATGTTGGCGACAATTCTGGCATACTGCTCTCGATCTTCTGTGACTCTAAAGAGTGCATGGGCATCGAGGTTTGTCCAATTCTTTATGTTTTTAAGCCATGAGTATTTCTTTCTTCCGATGCCCTGCTTTCCTTCTGTATTCTCTTCAATAATAAGCTGTAAGAATTGGTACTTGGAATTTCGAAAAATATGACCCAGATAAGCAGTTTTTCTTCTTTTTATTATTAAATCGTTCACAATTAAAAAAAAACTGCTGAATACCATCATTCTGACATCTCTGGTAACAGAAAATAACGTATGCAAGAGGATAGAATACATTGGAATAACGAATGTAATTTAAAAAAGAACTTAGATACTATTTTATTGGGAATTGAAGGTTACAATAAGTTTATTGACGTTTCAATTTCCACTTCGTTAATCATTCTCAAAATATAAACATTAATAAATTAAACAAATTTTGTTTTTTGTTACTTGGTGAAAAATTCTTCTAATTTAATTTTATCTGACTCATTTATATTAAAAATTTAGACATATAGTTTACATTTAAAAGTAGACGACTTTAAAATGACACTGCCAATATGGATGAGTTGCGACTTTATTGTAAGATTCGATTACATTCGATTACATGAAATCAACTTTAACTTGAGAATAACCGTTAGAAAAAAATGATCTCATGGATCAGACTTGCTAGACACATTCTATTCTATTCAAATCTCAATATTATTATTAAAAAGAGAATCACTAAATCCTTAGACAATTGAGCCAAAATTGCTGGTTCTAACGAAAATTCGGCCTTGGAGGAAAAACATTTGTTAACATTTGTTTTATAAAAAAATATTAAAATTTATTTAAATCAACTTTAACTTAAGAATATTGGTTAGAAAAAATCATAGTATGTAATTTATCTTTAATAAAAAGGCAACCACATGCCATGATGGCAGTAAAATTCTCCTGTTAGTGATTCCGTAGTAAATAATGAAAAAAAAACCCCATAATACTATCCCAACATGGTAAATATTTGGTCTTACATCTAGTTTACTCTCAATAAACACCAAATTCCGATTTTATATGTTTGCTGTTTAAAAAACGTAAATGATGTATCCTCGATATGTTACTGACTGACTAATACTGATATTTTCCTTTTATTAACTTCCTTTTTTAATATGGGTAACCAGATCCTAGCGCATTCTGCCGAGGAATTTGCGACACAATTGGTCACATTTAGCGTAATAATTAGAGCCGCTTCTTTGATTTTTTTTTTGCCATTCGTTTCTTTTAGGACTATACTTGAATCATTCCATTGAACCCTATGTTCATTATCCCATGCGTGTTTACATATTTGAGATCTATCAAATTCTCTATTTTTAATTTAAGATTTATGTTCACTTATTCTAACATTTAATGGCCTTAATGTTTCAGCTAAATAAAACTGATCGCATTCACAAGGTATTTTATAAATACAATTCTTTGTCCTTTCTTGTTCATTGTTAGGTTTAGCAATTTTGGCTCTATCGTATAAGGATTAATGGTTCCCTTTTTAATATTAATATTGTGATTTCATTTGAAATTTAAATATCTATTGGTGTGTGTTGATTTTCTATATACCTGAGAGTCATATCCATTATCGTTCTTAGAGATTAAAATCTCCATGAAAGGTAGTGTGGTATTATATTCCTTTTCTATGGTAAATGTTATTATCTCTTCTTTATCGTTTATATCATTCAGGAATGTGTCCGACAACTCTGATTCATAAGGCTATATTGATTTTTTTTTCTAACGGATATTCTCAAGTTAAAGTTAATTTCATGTAATCGAATGAAATATCTTACAATAAAGTCGTCCCAGGAACGCAACTCATTATATTGGCAATATCATTTTAAAGTCGTCTACGTTAAAATGTATAATATATTATGTTTGAATTGACAATATAAACGAGTCAGATAAAATTAAATTATTAGAAGAATTTTTCACCAAGTAATAAAAAACAAAATTTGTTTAATTTATTAATATTTGTATTTTAAGAACGATTTCCGAAGTGAAAATTAAAACGTCAATAAACCTGTTTTAACTTTTAATTGTGGACTATTCCCAAAAAAATAGTATCTAATTTAAAATGCGACAAGAAAATGGCTTCGGAACAATATTTAAAAAGAACCTGTAAGAATATTTCTCGTCTGCCACCAAACTCTCATTATTCTCATCTTAAAAATCATAAATCATAACTCTATATCATATTATTGAAGACTATCCCCTATTTCAGGTTAGAACTTGATGAAAGTGGCGATAGACTTATGCATTTTTTGAGGTCGATCAATTTATACAGATTCATATAAGCGTAAAATAATGGTAAAATGTATAGTGTGTTGTAAGGCCAAGCCATTTTGTAAAAATTATTATATATTTTACCTATATTATATTGTATTGTATAATTATTATATTATACAGCCCAAATCCCAACTATATTACCCACAGATCACTGAATAAACACTACTCCCTGAATCCCAAATAACTTATTATAGTTGATATGGTATATATCAATAAAAAAATTACTTAGGGCCGGTTCTACATTCCAGGTATAAATTGGAGAATAGTTATTCTGAGATAACTTATACTTGAGTTTATTCCAAGTATAACCTTCGAGCGTTCTACATTGTGAAATCGACAGCGGAATAGTTATTCTGGGTATAACCACAGAACACTAAGGTAAAACGAAATAGTAGATCTGATGTCTTCAAAATTAGTTCAAATTGTTATTAACAGCGACATTTGGCATTTGTCATAACTGTAAAATTTTTTTACAATTGAAAGGAATTGAATAATTGATTCGCTTTATCTGGTATTTTATCTACGTTTTTATTATTATACTTTTCAAAATTAATATAAAATGGATAAAAAAAGATGTAAAATTTCCTTCTTAAATTTTTTGGTATCATCAACTGAGATTAGTGTTATAATATAATAACCAAAATTATGTAAATATATCTATATAGGTATACTCCACATTTTAAAAAAGTATAAATATTGGAGTACAAAATAAATAATTTTAGTTAAAGAAATGTTTATATAATACAGATTCTAGAATTACAGTCTCTGTTATCAAAACAAAAAAATATATTGCCTTGGTAAGATTATACCTATACTAGGTATACTAGTCATATGTGTAGACGTTATTACATTACATACATATCCTAAAATTTTAGAATTGAAATAATAAATGCTTTCTTTTTCCTTTGGATTGCCTAATAAAATTTCCTTTGGATTTACAATCTAAAATGTTGGTGCAATATCAAAAATTTTATTTTATATATAAAAACAAACAAAGTGAGGTTAAAATATTACAGATTTGACAACCCCTGACCGACCAATAGAAATGCAGTATAAATTTATACTCGGTATATCTGCTAAACTTTGGAGGGATAAAGTTATTCTACAGATATACTCCGATTATCTTATTCCTAGTTTATTCTTTGTTTGTAGAACACCATTAATGAAGTTATTCCAAGTATAACTTTATTCTTAGTATATACTGGCATTGTAGAACCGGCCCTTAAGATTCTAAACTGAAAACTAAATTTCAGTATTGTTCACTTTGGCAATTACCGTGTTTCGTGTTAATTGAGAACTCAAATGAGCTCATAATAAATCGACTAATTAACTCATAAATTACAGGGATTTTCAGTTAAGCAAAAGTTATGTTTAGAAATGCAATACAAAACTTAGTAAACTAAATCGAAATTCATATAAAACTATAACTTACATTAGTTAGTTGACCAAAGCCGAAAGGCTTAAAATATGAGTCATTATAATATGGGCTAGATTTGTATAAATTTGACTTTTCAGGACATCTGTTTCCATGTCGAAAGAGCTAAAACAGAAAAATAAAAAAACTATTTATGATTTTAATTTATTTGCCATATCGTCTATCTACATAGCGGTAAAACTCACCAACTGCAAAATAAGTAAGTACAACAGAGATATTCAACATTTTGTTCGTTTTTTGTTTTATAATTTTATTTATGATTACTCTAGATAGAAGTGATATTATTTATGGAGGTTACTTGTTACTGTACTATCCTGTTTTAAAAGAAATGATCCGAACTAAATAATTTTAAAATTATTAGGCTAAATGTCTTTTACCTCAAACTATCATATTCCTGATTGGTACTTAGGGATAAAGTAACTAGATAGAAAGTAACTATTTCGTTTACTATTATAAATTATAATGAATTTCTGTAAAATTGAACACAACAAAAATTTACCAAAAAACTTATTGTAAGGATAAATTGATGTTATATCTTCTGATTCCTCAGATTCCTCATCAAAATTGGGTTCTGGCAGATTGTCATTTGTAGAGGTACTTATTGGTAGATTTTTATAATAACGATGAACTTCATCTGGTATGAGATTTTCGTTGCAAAGTTTGACTAGATCTCGTTTCTTGTACGTTGAAATAGGGAGTAAATCGTCGTTATAGAGAGATTATAACCTTATTTCTAAAATATCCCGAATACTCCTTCTTCCTGGACCACAAGAAATAATTAATTTTTTATACGACGATGAATGGTCATATCTAAAAAAAACATGCGTTCTTGTACAAATTTAAAGCATTTAATTTTTAGCTAGGATACTGTGCAGCCATCTTCATCTTTCGCTCTATTTTTTATTATTGTTCGTGGCAAATTATTAATATCATAGAAATCTGTATATTTGAGTTCTCGTACTACATACGGCTCCTTCTGTAATCTTTTCTGCCCTGCTAACCTAAATATTTCTAGCCAATCATTCATGATACAAGCTGTTCGCTTTTTTTTAGAATTCTCTATCTTCGAATGCATAGAGTCGCACTCCATATGACTATGTCCTGACTCCAAAAATTTCTGTTCTATGCATTTCGTGCGTAGTATGCACTGCATAGGGAAGTGCAGGAGCCACTTCTATATTGCTACTCTGCAGCAGGGAATGACTCAATATGTTTTTTTACTAACTGGACAGACTCTTCATTAGTAGCGTTTACAGGGATTTTGCGATCTTTTTTATCTTCACTAAAAAAACCGCTGAATTGGTTCCTTATAAGGCCGTATTTATGGGACCATTAGAAATATAAAGAATTCTCTAAAAAACTTGGCACATACCCAAGGGACCTTCAAGGAAGTACAATCTTGAAACCTTTTTGTTGTTAACATTATTTTTTAAACGTTTTGGTTTAACTGGTGTAACATGTTGTATTATAAAATTTCTTTGCCTTTTAAAATCGTTAAAAGACCAATATGATTGACAAAATGTCTTCCTATCCTCTTCTTTAAAAATTTAATGAGCATTTATATCTGCAATTTTTTACAATCAACAAATTTGGGACCCTTTGCATTGCATTGTTTAAATTTGTTATAATATGGCTCACATTTGAAACGTTTCCAAATGTGAGTTTTAGTAATGTTTACTTTCCAGTTCTTTTCATTTCGTTTTCACCTTCTTGTCAATGTACATTATTTTTGTATTCATTTCTGTAGCGTCAGTGGAGTCTGATAAATTGGAGATATCTGCTGTCGGAGAAAGAGGTAAATTCGGTGGTCTGAAACAGTGGTCCATATCAATACCATCAGAAGAAAAATCACTGTCACTGCTTGATGAATACGGAACCATTTTTAATGTACTTCGTTGTCTTTTAACTTTTGCCATTACACCATCCTCTTTCGGCAACTGAAATATAAAAGTTAATTAGTCTGTGCATGGTGATATCCCAATGGACTCATTTTATGGAGGCCTATGTCCAGCAGGGGATACAACATCGGGCTGGATTATTGTGATGATTATGAATTACTTACAACAATATAATAAGTGATGTGTGTTTCTTTACCTAATTTGGAACAGCCTTCTCAGCCTCAATGTGACCAAATAACTCATTGACCTTGGTTTGTACGCTTTCGGAATTAATTTCCGTAAACAATAAATCATTTTATATCTCTTATTGATTTTGAGAATTAAATACAAAATTCAGTAAGTACATAAACAACTTATTATAAAAAAATCGTTTAAACACTAAGTAGGAAGTAGATATTTGCATTTTTTGTTAGTATCATTGGTTTTTCATTTTCTTTATGTAAGACACTTTTGACCATCCTAGTAGTTCTGGAAATGGCAAACATTCATGTAATACAACTTGGAAATCTTTGAAGTCTCTAAATAAAAAATTAATTGTTTTAAAGTAATTTTAAACTATTTCACTTGATATTACATACCTCAGAACGTATAGAAGATTTTGATGAATCAAAAAGTTTGTCTGCATAAGTTTTTCTCGTTTTGGCTATTATTTAGGAACTTATTAAAATTAAAATAAGCGTAGTCACAAACTTACAAAGAGACAGAATTTATTTACACTATATTGTACTTTTAACAATTTTAATAACAACTGCACAAAACCACAGGCACTAAAACCTAACCTCAAACTCTCATTGTACGCAGCTGTCAAACTACAAAACCCCGTTTTAAAAGTATTGCCATAGAGGTAAAAATCATTAAATGCAACCTGAATTTTACCTCTCAACGAAATGTAAACAAAGTGTACTAAATATTTTTTTACTGCTTTAACTGCTTTATTAGATATTGGACGTAGCACCTAGTGAGTTTAGCCACGCGATAATTTAGATGTGAAATGTTCTTCACTGATACAAACATGGTTTTGAGCTAAAATGTCACTTAGTGAGTTTTACCTCTATATAGACGATATTTATTACTTAATTGAAATATTGAAATATATATATATATATATATATATATATATATATATATATATATATATATATATATATATATATAGGTATATTATTGCATAAATATAAAACGATGGCGATTTTCCAACACGCGAATAATTGTCCATGCGGGAAATATAAAAACTTCTTAAGTTAATTCCGCAAAACTCCAACAATTGGCGTTGTGATTTGTTTATTGTCATTGCAAAAGCCAAAAGCACGAAAAATTGTAAATGTTTAAAATTAAATGGAAAGTTCGTTGAAATCATCAATATACGCTGGATCACGACCTTTGTATTTTTCATTGATGATCGTTGTCACAATGATAATATTCATTAGCCTTTTCACAGCCAGTCTCATTCAATTGCACAGTCAATGTTGATTAATTTTAAGCTGCATAATAACAACTAATTCTATTTTTAATTATAAATTATTATGTGGTAGTCCAGGTAATTCAAATTATTACAAAAACTCTGTAGGATAGTTTACTACGGCATCCTGATTTATAATTATCTTAACTGATTTGGACAACCACAACTTTCCTAGAATAAAATTCAGAGTAATATATTTAACCGAATATACATTAAAATTTCATAAAAATCGGTCAAACCGTTTTGAAAGAGTATGGCAACTCTGTCCGTGATACTTATATGGTTATTAAAAATAGGGTTTGGATATAAAAGTGTGAAAATTAAGAGTTGTGTATATTGATTAATGCCACATCATAAAATAATAAAAATAAAAATTTTACCCAAAAAATTTTAAAAAATGTTTGGAGTGGAGCACTCTTAGCGCTTAGTTATGGTATAAAAATATGTTACAACCGATTCCTAGACTTACCCAATATACATACAAAATTTCAATAAAATCGGTCAAGTGATTTCGGAGAAATATGACAACTAAATTTGTGACACTAATATGCCAATTAAAAAATAGAGATTAGTAACATGGGGGTGAAAATAAGGGCTGCTGTATGTATGTTTTAATCCTACATAAACTAGAAACAAATACTGTACTTTTTTGCATTACCCTGGCCTACAATAGTAATATAAATTACTAATTTCTATCCGATAAACTTTATGATGTGATTGATGTAGCTCTTGTGGCTTCGGCTACAGTGGTCGTGACAGAATGTTAACCGGAACATAAAAAAATCGCCAATATTACAAAAGAATTGATATGCCTGTGTTTATCTATGTCTGTCATCAAAAGAAAACAAAAAAGAAAAGTAGATTAGTTTCAAAGCATATTTTTTATTCGGAAATGAATAGTAGGTCCAAATAGATCTGAAATATAGTCCGACACAACCTGATAAAAATTTTAAATTTATTATGGTTTACCAAGACCATCTAACATTCTGCTATGCGATTTACAATCTAACAGAACGACAGAGGTGGCTTGTCATTTGAATGAAATATTTCTAACTATAAGAGTGCATTATTTAATATGATAACGATGAGGAATTTATCAATAAGCAAGTTGACAGTCTCCAGCCAAAACTCAAAATTGTACACAACAACTTGTTACACAAGAAAGACAACGTCTCAACCAACTGGTTAAAAGGTTTGAGATACATCCAATTCATAAAAAACCGCGCCTACCATAGAGATAAAACAATTACCATAAAAGGTATAAGAGGCCAGAGTAGGACTTTAGACATCCTCTTTGCTGCAAGAAATCATAAACTAAATTCAGGAAAAAGATAATTTAAGAAAGGTAATAAAGAATAATTGTAACGTTAACCTAAGACAAGATAGTGATGATAACGTTGAAGAAGTTAGTACCCAAGAAAAAAATTCTTTATCTGAAAAGTATATTCTTAAAGCTAGAAAAAGTGCAGCAGAAAATCTTATGAAACAGGCTTAAAAAATGGAAGCTATTTCTGACTAGTCTTATCCACTAGCCAAAATTGGAGATAATGTGACTATACTGATTCCGGATATTGACAATGGTATAGGAAACTCGAAACATCATTGCAGTAATTCTTCAGACGAATGACGAAGGTTTTTACAAAGTTGGCACCAAACATGGAATACTTCAGAAACTACAATATATATTCAGGTTTTATAACTGGTTTTATATTCTTACTTAATAATTGATCTATATAGTATTCTGTTTAGAGCATTTATGTAGTTATTATATTTTTAATTTTTGTTCCAGATCAGAATTCGAAACTGTTTATCAAACTTTTTTAATTGTAGCAGATGTAAACGAAGGCTTTAAAATATCTTTAAGGCTTGCAGCTACGAGACAATCATTTTAATGAGAACAAGGTGTTGTCAGATGCAGTTGCAATAAAAACTGTTTCAAAAACAGGTACAAGAGCAAGAAGGAAATGTTACTTCGCAATTCTAAGTGCCACCAAAGCACTTCAAGTAAAAATAATAATTAATTATAATAATTGTGGTGTAATTATTACTTAAAAAAACCACTTATTATTTTCTATAATATTATTGTTTGTATTACCAATTGTCTATTAGTTTTAATGACGAATATTTATCGTTTTAATATTAATGATTATTGCAATAATATTAATGATTATTTTCCAACTACAAAGTATTTTATTCAGTCTATCTATTTATTTTGGATTCGTAGGTATACTATAATGTTTATACTAGGCCATACTAGTTTATCTTGGAGTGTGCGTATTTATATCAGTATAAACTAGTTTGGCGTAGCCTAAACTGGTTTACACCATCGAGCTAACGTCGAAAGACAGCTCACCGAGAAATGACATTATATCGTTATAGAATATATGAATGCTCAAATAGGTAAAGAAGAAGTTTTCTTAGGAACCATTGGTAAACATTTACTCTATTAAATTACCAATGAAAATGGAGAATTACTTGTTAACTTGCCAGTAGATAAAACATGATCATCTGCTCGACTTTTTTTCCAAACATGATCATCTGCCCGAAATACACAAAGCGACATAGATTATGCCTGGTGTAACAACCGCCAGCCAAATCGATCGTGTGTTGATAGACAAAAGGGCCGTAATAAGCATACAAGATGTAAAGAGCCGAAGAGGAGCATGTTGTGGATCTGACTATCTCCTAGTACAGATAAAATACAAATGCAGAACTCACAGAAATAGGAGGGACAGACAGAAACCAACAACAGAACAACTAAATATACAAAAATTAAGACAAATAAGATATCACACAGAACTATGAGGCAGAAATAACATAAACATTGACAAATACAGGCAGGCTGGGAAGAAATTAAAACAAAAGTAATTTACGCAGCAAGAAAGATTATAGGCCAAAAAAACATGGAATGGTTCAATGACGAGTGTAAAAAGACCATACAGAAAAAAAATGAAGAACACAAAAAATATATGGAAAAGAGAACCAGAGAAAGATGAGCCAGCTACGAAGATGCAAGACGCCAAGAAGAGGGCGGATAAAATATGCCGAACAGAGAAAGGAAAATACGAGAATCTATTCAGAAATCAAAAGGGAAAATAACCAGTAATTCAAAAGAAATAAAAATAGTCTTCTTTTTCTTCTTCGTGGGCCTTGTCTGTTCCGAACGTTGGCAATCAACATAGCTATTCTGACTTTGTTTACGGCAGATCTGAATAGTTCAGCAGATGACAATCCGAACCATTGCCGCAAGTTTTGGAGCCACGAGTGTCTTCTCCTCCATGGACCCCTTCTGCTGTCTATTTTCCCTTGAACGATCAGCTGTAGTACTCTATATTTATTATGTCTCATTACGTAACCCAATTATTCCAACTTTCTCTTCTTTATACTTATTCCTACCTCTCTCTCTTTACCTATCCGGCGTAGTACCTCTTCGTTGGTCACGTGCTCAGTCCAGGATATACGTAATATACGTCGGTACGCCCACATTTCGAAGGCCTCTACTTTTTTCATCAATGTTGCGGTC